GTGATTTTGTTCGTCCTTAAAAATTGGTCTTTTTGAATCTGTCGGTTTTTGTTACTTGTTGAAAGACATGGGAGTGTGTGGGAACACTCTTTGGGTACCAGAATTATAAAAGTCTCATTTTACATCATTGAGCAGCGTGTTTTGCTCACACACCAGTGGCGACCTGAGCGGCTCTATTAAAATATTCATTAACAAGAGTGTAAACTCAGACCAACACTGCATTCAAAAAAAGCCACTATCAAAATAAAAAAAACCTTGGTTATGCAGCACTAAGATATCAGAAATTGAGGCCCGGTTGTGCAGAACTTTGTATCAACAAGACAATTATTAGTTGAAGATTGATGATGAAACGCTTGATATTGTGTCTATAATAGAATAGGTCATAAAAACAAGCACACGTTTTCGCAAGCTGAACGTCCCGTGTATGCTACGGCTTTTGTTTCCCTTTTAAGTTTCTGTCCCTCAGAATACGTTGTTGTAATCACACTGAACGTGTGCAAACATCGGTTTGGCAGCCAACCAAAAGAATCATCGTGCCCGTAAGAAGTTTTCTGTAGGCTGTGTTCGACTGAAAAGGCAAAGGAGTGATAATTATAGAGCAGGTAAAGGTACTGTACAAAGATATTCGTGTAGGATAACCATACAAAATAAAACATGATGGTATACACTAATTTTGTGGATTATAAGGTATATTGGGAGTGCAACAAAATAACTTGTCTTGATGCTGCTTAATTTTTTTTCTAGTAGTTAACATCGATTTGCGCTTTTTTAGAGATTGAAATGTCATAAGTATACTGCGTTTAACAAACAAATATTGTACTACATCAGTGAGGTTGCTAATGATACTACTATTTGTTGCTTTCAACTCAAAGCAAATCCTAAAAAGCCACTGATGTAACATCAGAATTTTGGTGTGCGAAAAAGAAACCTTGCAAAAAATTGCAGTTGAACTTAGATTATTGTGCTCGAGTTTCATAATATATACCCTTCCTGCAATATTGTGAAGGAGTTAAGAAAATCCGCGGTGCAACACAGCAAATCCATTTTTTAAGCACTTCGTATTATTTATTAGCTTACGCATCAACTAGAAGTGTTTAATACGTGGTCTTTCCTACTTTAGCAAGTACTGAATAATTGGCAGACATCTAGAAAATAATCATGAATGGGAATTTAATCGTGGCTTATAAGATACAGAAAACTCTGCACAGGCTTTTCTCATAATCAAACAAGATATTTTTACCCTACAATCGCCAATTAGGTTGCATTTAGAAATTTAATTGACATGAAACCACCTCGATACCAGCTGCACATGTGAGGCCTATTTGTAATCTTGCGAGCTTTTCAAGGTTTTTTTGAGATTTAAAAGAAACAACAACACAGTTAACTGCCACAAATTCTAACTTTTTTGTTTATTTGACGCCTACTAGGATGTGGTGAGCAGGCAAACCCGTTCAGTGGAGATAAAAACAAATATACACTTAGCGATTTTAATATATTCGATCATCAGGAACTGAACAACTGCTTCTTCCATATAAGTTATTTTTCTTTTGAAGAAATAGGTTTTTTTTGAGTAAAATCTAAACTGTTCCAATTTGAAGTGTCGGTGAAAGCGTTTTGCCTCGTAATGTAAAACCATCAGCAGACACCTATCGTAGTCTCCGTTCACCTAAATAAAGACAGTGCTTTAGCTTCTCTATGCATCACCTCACTCATGGCAATATTAACAGTCTTCCACTGCAAGAGGCACTCAATTGGCGCAATTTCACTACCTTCAACAATACATGATTTGTACCTGCAACCGGTGAAATTTACTAGGTTTGAGGGCTTCATTGAAATGCAAGTGAATTAGCACACTAGTTACTGCAATTGACGTAAAAAAATGAAGTTAAGATGGAATAAATGAAAGGCGAGGCGATATAGAATGCTGGAATGTAAATGAGATGTTTTAGCCGAGGGTAGAATTGAGGGGTTGAAGTTCACATCCAACCATTGCTATGCCTTGGCTCATTGTCATGATTTTTAAACATCACAATACATTTGAATTTACTTGCCTGTTTGTACCTGATATCTCGACTTTTGATTAAAAACATTTACTGTGATTTTTTTGCAATATTTTAACACCATTTTAGCCCTCTTTATTTAACAACAACAACAACATAATAAAACGATTTTTGTGTCAGGTTGATATATCATCCTCAGCAGTAATTGATGTTTCTTTGTCATAGAAATTCTGCTACTTGCACGAATGATTAGCGTATCTTGTTGCAAATGTAAAAGCAGTTTATTTTAATTTGACTGCATTGGTGCCACGTCTAATTTTGCCTTTTGAACAGGCCATAATTGCAGAAGCAAATGGTGGTGCATACCTTTACTAGGATTGTGTCCACGTCAAAGATGATTAACAACACTACCTCTACAAACAATGCAGATGCACAACAGGGATAGGATTTAATTCTCATAAAAGCGGTACAAGCAGAGAACTAGCAGTCGTGGCCGTTTCAAATGGTAGTCTCACGGGAGCTAACCGCAAAGTTTAAACACTCGACATCTACGTTCATTTCTAGCTCACTGATAATGATAGTTCTATATCGCCCTTGTAAGGTGACTAAATTAAGCTCATTCATAAAGTTTTGCATTTGGCAGTTTTAACTTGCGTTTCAAATTATACCATCACACGCACTTTTCTTCACGCACTGCAAATGGTTTGCCATGGGAGTGTGTCAGCAATCGTGATTATGGCGCCATCTGATGTGACCTCTAAGTCTCACCTCTTTCTTCTCTGATGCAGTCGCCTCTCACCAATTAGCTTTAGTCTTGTAACAAAAGGAGCATAAAAATGAGAGCTACTGCAGCTGAGCAAACACATCACCTCTCAGACATGCAGCCCTTTCTCTTCAATAGCATGCTCTTACTGGAGGCGCTTCAACCACTCTCTATTCTGCATTACGGTGAGCTACAAATTGTCTTTTGTTATCGCATCTTGCAGAGGCTCCACCTTCGAGTCCATAATTGACAGCATCCTGAATGATGCACCTCAATACTTGGACACGCACGCTAAAAAATTCCATGTGGAATCTGTTGAAAGTTTTGCTCGCTCTTGCCCTGTTTCATTCTACGAAAATCTGGTCAATGAAGAGGCAATTTATACCCTCGGGAATTGCATCAATGCATCCCATTTAGTCATAACTCCTCCCTCTGCAGTAAGTTATGTACACCATACTGTGCCATAGTTATTTCATCTTCCTCTTCTTCCTTCTGCAGCTTAAAATAGTGCACTACAATTCCAAAAATCTGGCATTTAAATACTCAAATCATGGACTATTTGCAGCCAAAATATTTTGCTCATTTATTTCGATGCAAAACTTGCAATAATGCTATTACACTTCTCCCACATTTACTTATACTTTTTGAGGGCAATGTAGCAGTAGTATTTTAGACAATCGAAAGTCAATTTGCTTGGCTCACCTAAAGTTTAATTTTAAAGTTGCGTAATTTGCACATTTTAGATCGTGAAGAAAGTGGAAATCAGGAGATCAAAGTTGGACATTTTAATGCGCGTAAAGAAGATCGTGTATCCTGAGGTTAAACTGGAATTGTCGGCACCGGTTTTTGAAGATACATTTATGCCCGAGACGCAATAAATGAGTAATGCTGATATAAGGGAGTCGCCTGATATCACTAAAGCTTTACTACAGATCGTGAAGGACACTACGTAGAAAAGAGAAGAACTGTAATTTTTGTATTGCCGTAAGATTCACCTATGTTAAGCGGTCACACTATTAGAATAAAATTTGCAGAAATATACCGTGGATCTCTCCTAGCCGTTAGAAGCAGATAGGGGTACGTCTAAAACAAATTATAATGCGACGTTATATGCATACAAATAAAATTATCATATGTAAATTGCTAATTTTTGACGAAAAGAGCAATTCATTCACATGAATGCCAAATTTGTCCTACATCATTTGAGATGGTATTCTGAGTATTCTATGTTTGGTAGCAATAGACTGCACATGCTGGACAAAACGAGCTAAAACTGTTATGTATTTCATATTATCATTACATAGTTATAAATTTTTTTGCAGGATAAATGCTTTGATAATGAACAGGTCTCTTTTTAGCTTAAGGATATTAAACGCAGGTTGATTCTCTACCCACTGTATATAAGTAGCAATTGTTTTTGCGCCTCACTGTGGTCAGCTTGGGGCACGTTTGAAGTAAAGTCAGTGGGCACAGTTTCGGTCAGGGGCTTCGTCATTTGGTTTTCCGTGGAGTTTTCAGATGGTAATGTGCTCTACAAATGACATGAAAGCATGTTGGATTCCTCCATTCCATCCTTAGAAGGTAAGACCCTCCTTTCACTTTCACGAGACCATCAATAGGAAACGTTATTCGGAGTTGACACCACACTGCAACATGACACACCACGCAACACATGCGACTGTTTGATTTTCTCAGACGTGTCAGGTGGTGCGAGGAAGTGATTTACACGCCCAACCGCCGGACAGGCTGAACTACGCGTTTCAATGCTTTCTACTACTTCTCGCACTTCTGCGCATTGTCATCATTCTCATTAACCGGTTCATCATCAACGTCCCCCAGCCGCTTCGTTTCGTCTTCTCCAGTTTTAATTACTGTAAGGAAGGAATTATTTTTGTTAAATGCCTCTCTATTCTCCATCGTGCTTCACTGTAACTTCACCAGCGCTGCAATTCTATGCAATAATAGGGGGCCGATAAATTTCTGCCATCTTGCGTGGGTGCTCCATTTCTATTGCATGCGGATGGCTGCCTCTGCTAGGCGAGTGGTTTCAAAGGCAAAACTACTTGCAAGACGATACTACACATATTTGGAATGTCCTTTACAATATGATGTTACGTGTGAATTCCATCATAACGCTTCGGTCTACTTTGGAACACAGGCACGAATTCGGGATAGACGGAGGTGGCTCTTTACACAAGCTTGAATGAGCCTCAACTACCATAGCCCTCTTTTCGCACCTACTTCTTCCTTTCCTCTACTTCCGCCTCCACCTCCGCCCTGGCCTCCAACTCTACTTCTACCTCCTTCTTCAAGTCCACATTCACCAAGCCCTCTCCGTTCTTCTTCTCGTTCTCACCTCTATTCTCCTTTTCTTCAAACCCAACCAACTCCGTCTCATCCTTCTCCTCCTCCTGCATATTTCCATCCCTGTTCTTGTTTGTCTTCACCTTCAGTGTCTCACTCTTAAGCCCATTCACATTCATTCGCGTCTCCGTTCCTTCCTCCACCACCTTCTCTTCTCGCACACCTAGTCTGTAATCACTTACAATCACACACACACACACACACACTTATGCAATGCATGTATCTGAGCATCTCAGTTGTCAGCCTACCTGTGTCTTCTTCCTTTCCAACTGACCAGTCATCTACAAGGCACAAGCAACTCCAGTTTAATTCACTGTCCACTCACTACCACACATCTCTCCTCTCAACTCAGCATGTCAACCACTATGTGAAGCACAATCACCTTCGTAATAATCTACTATTTGCACAGGAAACGCTCCGGCTGGTTAACAAACTACAACGAACAAAAGCACTACGTGACATTCACCAGTCGCCTTGGCACTGAAATCACACTACTGTCCTCGTCTTCTAGCCCCATTCTCTGTATCCTCTTCCTCCGCTCCCAACTGCCGCTCACGACCACGTGTTGAGGAACACTGGAGCAGATGATACCACAATTGTAAAGTATGGTAAAAATATTCAAAATATTATGTGCTATTTAAGTAGTAATGTAAGAAAGTGGTAAAAATCATTTTTTGTTGGGTCTCGTTTAGAAATGGATAAGTAAAGAATAACCGTTCCAAAATGTATTAACACATGCCTCAAACCATATACTATGTGGTTTATTTGACAACAATAAGTCTATTTCAAAAGCTGAATCTTAATTTTGGTTTGTTTATGCTGTCTAGCAGAGTTAGCCAAAAGTGAAGGGCTAAGGCTAAAATTATAAGGTTTAATAGGTATAAAAGTGGAATGTGAATGGTCGGATTGCCAAAGGGGAGATGGATTTGGATTTATTTGTTAAATTAATTTAATCAATTGCCTTGATAGCTAATCATTTCGCAGATATTTTACAATGTTTTAATGCTTATTATATGCAAGATAAGGTAAAGCCCGCCTCCGTGATCCCCTAGAAAAGTGATCAATCATCTATATTCCTAATTTTCTTGCCTGTCAGTCTCCGGACTAATCAGTGACAATGCACTGGTGCTATTCACTACTTTTAATGTTCAAGGAAGCTCATTGTAAATGTAAAAGGAGGAAAGTGCTGAAGAAACACTCGGGTGTTTCATGACCAACAAAACGCTAGTTTCTGCAACAAATAATATCGAATCTCACCCACTTCCCTTCCTCCATCTTCAAAAAAGGAATTGGGTATTCAGTGAAGAAGAAGAGACTACAACTGCCGCAAAATGCTTTTATTACTGTCTTGAAGAGTAGTGCAGTTAAAACCTCCCTTAGAAGTGCGTTTGAACATTGGAATGAGCAGTAGTAGGCCTAGGCGGGATGGTAGAAGGATTCGTGGAATTGGTCAAATATATTAAAATCGAAATTTTTGCACGTCTTGCGTCTGCTGAGATTTGATGTATGTTGCGAAAAGGTTGAACACATTGTCGTTAATGCTGGCGCCTGGAGTGTACAATGTCTTCTCGAGAACGCAGGTGTCCGTCCACTCTGCAGACTAATATTAGTAAGGTGGCAAGAAGGCAGTCTCAACATAAAATTTTGCTTAAAACACACAGGAGTACTGTCGACTCTTGACTGGATTGTCAGCCTAATTAAATAGGAGAACATCTCTGTTCTACCATCACCTTTTTTTGTTCCGACCATCCACCCTAAGCTAAGAACGTCAGTGGACACATTTAAATTTGGTTGGAGTCAAATTTGATACCAACGTTGATAATTACACAAAATACGTCATTAGAGCTGTATGTGAATATGTACAGCCGACTCCTGACACCGCTTGCATCTATAAGCCTCAATGGTACGCAAATTGTGTGCTGCAGTCGGTATCTTATCATGTGATAGAAATGTAAACGTTTGATACTGATTTGCGAAGGTAGCCACCCTAATCATAAGCAATTCAATGGTGTGCTTGCCTTGAAATTAAAGCATTGGCTATAGATATTTGATTAAGTGGACCCTGTGGGCATGCTATTGGTTTCCATCAGGTCCTGGAACAAAAAACTTGGCTTTGGTCATTCCCCTTCCTAGCGTGATATAATCAGGACACTGATGATTGGACGTACTTTAATTGGTATGGTTTAAATATGTCCCAAATTAAATCGTTAGAGTGTAGTGACTTGATATTTTCTTTGAAATCATGCTTATCAGGCCGAAATTTCCAATTTTACCCAGTAGTATAGCTCTCCTCGTCACCTTCCAGTAACCCTTCTCCGTAACGAAATCTTACTCCAGTCACATATAAACGCAGTAAAGCCAGAGCAACTCCTGACTTTTCTTCGTTGCAAACATGACCAGCCTGTTTGGAAGCTAGTATCTATGCTGAGTCATTTTTCGAGCTTCATAATAAAAGCGAACAGTTATCCATTTCGTAATATGCTAATGGTTGTAGGCATTTTGTCTACTCCTCATCGGAGTCCCTACTTGTTCAAATTAATGGAGGAATCTGCCATCAAGTAGCTAATCTTCTTTTTTCTGGCCAGTTAATCTAAAATGGTGCGGCTTTTGTACAACTTGGTGTTTGTAGTTGCCTTGACCGCTAGGGTGGCCCAGAATGAATACATGGGAAGATCCTGTTGGACATTTTGTGTTAGAATCTGCCAGTTTACGTCAACCACGTGAATAAAGAAGCGTCCTTAAAACCGAAGGAATAAATAGGCTCTGATCCCTTTGAGACTTGGTAATCTCAAACCTTATATCACTTAGCCATACATACTTCTCAGTCTAGTGATGCCAAGCCGAAATGAATAAAAGAATGAATGACTTCATGGTCACGAATTTACAAATAGGTATCAATTCAAAATTACAACCAAGCTTAATTACATTTAGTTAAATAAAGACATAAAAAACAAACTTAAAACTTTGAATTCTCATTGCGGTACAGTTTAAGGGCCATGGCAATGATAGCCACGGTCGTATGGGCTCCTAGCAATAAAAACCCTAATATTTGCGGACTTATGGGTATTCAGACACACCAATGACCATTTTGTAGTGTTTAAATATCGGCATCTTCATCAGCAGTGTCCACCCGAATAACTTCTTAAAGCAATATCAATGGCTACACTGCCTTTACTGAAATCCGCAGTTTGCGAACAATCCACTCTTACAATTTCTCTAACCTAAACAGATTTTTTGCGTATATGCCAATGATTCTGCTTAACAACTTATTTTAGTGCTACAAATTAAAATGCTCCTTTTTGATGTACAAGTACAAACGCATGGAAAACGATTTAGTAATGCATGTGCACCAACACCTTCTTTAGTAGACCATGTTCTAAATCTCCTTTATTAGCAACATCAATTGGCACGTTGCTTTAATTCCAAACCATATTTTACGTGCCAGTCACTCTGCTTTATAAATATTTTTGATATTATAAAATATAGTGCACGTTTTGGTATGCATTATGCGCTTCGCTCATGAAAGTTGTACTAATTCACTCTATGGGTTACGAAATAGACTTCTGCATTTGATTCAAACATTTGTAACTGTTTAATGGTTAAAGATTCAAAACAATTAAAAAAGTAAAAACCTTAAGTTTTCGTCGTCAAAACAACATCAAAAGATTCCTATTTATTGCTTAATTGTCCCCTTCCATGCTGCTCTAATCTGCAGTGCTGCATTCAGTTCCATTCTCTTCCCTTCTACTACAGTGATAAATAGAATGTAACTGGAATTGAAACTCGAATGACAAGGCGAGAAGCTTTCATGGACAATGAAGCCTTTGCTACTTTTAAGGCAACTTTTGACCTCAACTGCTTCTAACTTTTATTTCACCACACCAACTGCCTGGCCCATAAGTACATTCTACCCATACAGACACAAATGTCTGTGCAACCACGCGCAGGTTTCCATCTAGCTCAGGGATCGGTATAATAAGGAACCGCTTCCGAGTTGATAAATTTTACAAAGTGATTCGGTATAATGCTTCTGAGGGGCATGATTCCTAACCCCAATTCCATCTGGAAATCTCCGCAGAAAAAGTTTTCTTCTGTTTGTCTCCATTATATCCATATCACACGCTTCTATCCCTAACATCCCTCATGAGAGAGGTGATGAGGTATGAATTCGGGTAATAAACGAATTCTTGTAGAAAAGTCGGTTGGTTGTTGTGGCACGCCCCCAACCGCGAAAAAAGTCTTGTCGTTTAATAAATCACGGCCTTTAATCACCTGTACAGGCAACCAAATTAATAGCTCTATGGAAGAACTTGTCACTCTGCAATCTACAAATACCCAAAACTGTTTGTGAAAAAAGGGAAATGCGTTGATTTAGCAAAACAAATAGCTACAAATTGCCATACAGCATAAAGGCTTTGCGTATGGCATGATTAACTTGCGACAAGGTTAAAGATTTGATTACTGGCCTTTGTTCGCAGAGAATAGGCAAAAAGCACAATCATTTCCATTAGAAAGCAATTGGTCTTCATGGCATGATGTAAACGGTAATGTATGCGCATGCATGCAGATAGTCTGCTTGATCTGCAGCGGAGAATAACAGTCTTATCCACCCTTTCGTTCTGGAAGAAAAACAAGCTAGTTGGAGCAAAAATATTTGCATTTAACCAAAAACTAAAT